ATTAGAGACACTGAGTGATATGGCTGGGTGTCGTAAACAGTGGCGTTCGTACATCTCCTCAATTTCTTTGTTAACTTAGACCACTGAACTTCTCCATTTTCCTTTCGAATCCACTTTCAACTTTCCTTTCTCCTCCTATCCTTCATCCAAATGGTCAGCCAAAAGACAGCAACCAAAACCGGCGCACGAAAGTGCATGGTCAATGGTTGTTCAAACTGAAACTTGACCTAAGGGTTAGCAAAATTCGTTGGTTCAATATGAGCAAGCGAATATTTTGCGAAGCGTGATGTAGATCGGTCGTTTTACCGCTTTGCATGAAATGCGATAGATGCTCTTGTGAAAATCACACAAGTTTTTTTGCCCAGCGCCACCTGTAAGCTTCTCGCTATATCCTACTTGGTCGATCGTCTGCCGTAAGTGAGCGGTGCACGCGTGAGGCTGAATCGACCATATTTATGCCCTTAACCGAATTCTTGGACCCGGACATTCCTTTCGTAGATCCACCATTCCTATCTTTGTTGATCTGAAGTTGGCGTTCGACTTAGTCGACCCCACCGTACTCCGTCGCTGCTTCTCACTCCGTGGTTTACTAGATGGCTTTAATTCACTGCAATCGCTTTGTACTAATAGTCGAATCCGGGTTCAAGCTTAGGTCTCGCTCTCATTCCAGTTCACGACGGAAAGCAGTGTTTGTCAGTGCTGCATTCTCTCTTTCTTATTTTTGCAACGTTGAGTTGATATGCTTGTGGTAAAAACCCAGTTCTCTTGTTATGTACTGCTTCGATGTGCTTTCCACTTGCATACTGATGCTCATCATCATCATCCATGCTGATGATGCAATATGAGGTGAATGATGGACACCAACAACTTTGACGCTATTCGGATCAGGCCTATGCCCCCATGATTGGCGCAGCCACTGCGGTGCCGATGGGGACGACAATGCATTCCCTCGCGAGAAGGGCATCTGCTCATTGTTTTATACTTCGGAGAATTGAGGCACCATTTTTCCAACAAGTTTCAACCCACCATCTTTAAATAGAGCTAGGAGGAGGTCATCGGAACTCGGTGCTTTGTGACGTCCCAAGGTTTCCACCTCTTCTCGGATTTCCGTCTTAGGTGGGTCTGTCTAGACAGACCAGGGGACGTGTAATAGAGTAGCTGTGTAGGAAGCTGACCCTGGTTGCCAGCTAAACTGTGGCTCGCCCAGCCTGTAAAACGTGGCTGTTTGTTGTGCTTTGGCCAGCCGTCAGCTTCACAGATCGAACGGAAGTACAATTTTATTGGCTGGATGAACTCAGCAGAATTGATTCTTTTTGTTATCTGTGGTTGTGTGGGGAAAATGCTCAGGGCGATCTACCTTTCTCTCGTGATACCCCGGATCCATAGAATTTGGATTGGCGAGCCGTAAAAGGTTCACAATAGTGTTGAGTCCGACGACTACCTATCATCAAGGTTGAGTGGTGATGGCCCCGTTGGAACCTCGGACCCCAAAGCACAGCATTGACATCTACTTAACCCAATCAATCAACCCCTGGTTACCACTATTCCACGCTTCGTGGCTATGATTGACGATTTTCTCAGATATGCAGTTAGACCCTTCTGCCATCAAATAAATGTACTCTTCCTGTGTCGATCATTGTTGAACACAATAGGAAAATGGGTGAAAAGATCACACGAGTACGTTTCGCTGGTTAGGACATTTAATGTATATATATGACTATCTCTTATTGTTATCATCATGGGAGATTTTGATAGGTCCTCGACTGCTTGTAACAATCTCCATGCCTAATATCAAATAATCATCCCTGGCGAATACACTGCTCTAGATCAAATCGAATCCGATAGAAACAAGTAGTCGATACTGGGAACATGAGTTCTCCTCTGGAAGTTGCAGAAAGTCGGAATTAAATGGGTAGCTATTGTTTTACTGACCGAACTACCTCCAACTAATGGGCTACTGTCCCGTACACGTTTTTCTAATCTTATTGGGTACATATATATCACGGACCCATCTCGAGAGGTAGAGTGACAGGAGGAACGTTCAGATGGAATCCGTTTGGTATCTGAAACCCGTAATAGGTTTAGCAGACGACGCCAAATATTGGTTACAATGATACACAAACGTTAGGTTTGTTTCAGCACTCGTAGTCCGCAATGTATTCGCCTATTTTCTCGTTCTTTCTTTGATTTTACTGTCAGACGACATTCCAGTGTCAGGCAAACAGGTATGAAGTGAGCTAAAGGTGATACAGTTTTCTTCAAGAAAGGCTTTGCGAAGGAACGTAAACATCCGATCTAGTTCAGTAACTTGTTGGATCGCTAAGTGATTAGGTACATACAAATGGTCAAATGGATGAATGTCATTCTCGAGAATCGTTCCCGATTTCATTCTGCTCTTTCTTCACCCACACAGCATAGTATCTGTTCCCTATCTGAAATCAGTCGTCCTATTCGGGTTTGTGGTGGTGAACAGCTTACTGCAGACGGAAATCCTGGATGGGAAATGCGGGATTTCGCTTGGAACCCAACTGTTCATAGCTTGTTTGTGACCATATTACGTTCGGGTGCTGTTCGTCTGGTCAGTGCCACTCCAAATCCTACGGAACCGGAAGAGCTAGTCGATCAGCTTCCACTCACTGTAGATGCCCGATGTCGTGAGTGCTTTCATTTTATTTACAGTAGTACATTACCACTCGTTGATTGGTTGAATTTTCAGGTGTTTTCCACTTTGGTGCATGTGCCAATCGTGTTCGACTGTTGTTGTGTCAACTCGGTCAAGTGTTCGACTTGTATACCGATATTCTGAAGAATGTATGATCCATAAAACAACCTTTTGTCCAACATTATGACGTACTTAACCAGCAGTTTCTCTGAGTTACTGTCACGCTCGGCTTCCTTTTCTGTGGTGTGTACATAGACTCCAAGCATGGCTGCTCTTGTCTCGCGAACCCCATTCACTTGTCTTGTTAAATATGCACAAAGATATAATTGGATGACGCTCTCATAACATTCGTATTCATTCACGGGTGTTGGTGGCGCAGTGGTTTTGTCGCTATCACCGGCGTGCTTCGGACCCTATGGTCCGAGGTTCGAGCCTCGCCACCACCACCCGACTTTGGTGGTAGGCAGCTCTGCTGTCGTCCGGTTCAATACCACGCCTAACCTGTCGGGTTCTTATGTGGTTCGCCACTCCAAGTTCCGGGGCTTAGGTTGCCGATTTCAACCACTGAACAGCAAGTCCTCGTGACTATGGGGTTCACCCCGTCTGCTGTTCATCACACCTAGGTGTGTAATAAAAAAAATGTAACAGAACTCCAGTAGCCAAGAATGAAAAAAAACAAGAGACACGCTCAGTGAAGTTATCGTGCACTTGACGAGTTGAATCTGATTGAATATGTTTGCAAAGCTTTTCACTCGAGGAAAGTATTATTTACTTACAAAATCGGGACAAACTCGATATTTCTATGCTGTTTCACTCTGTTTTCAAAGACCAATAAGGATGACAGGGGAGCAATAAAATAATTGGCATAACACAGGAATGCATAAGTCTTTTAAGTAGGCATTGTGCTGGGACTATATGGGGTTTTGGGAATATTTTCCTTCAAGATGCTTCCGATCGAATCCTAGGTGGTTCTTTATTATCACTGGACGGGGAAGAATATCTACTTTCGTTAGAAGTCAATCAAGCACCTTACGTTGGTCTGTATGCAGTGACTGTCATTCTATTTGCACATTAAATTATCAATAGTCTAATGAAGACCATCGAACAATAGCGGATAAGTAATTATTAAGTTCGAGAATCAACAACTTATCATCATCGTTAATTCTGACCACCACATCGGTGGTATACCTGGTCTGGTGTTTTTCCAAAGTGAGTTGCGATAATGGGAAAAAGAGAAAAGAAGGAAAACTGACACGAATAAATTCAAAGGGAACTAAGCACATCACCGTTGAGGGAAGTAAACTGAGTTCAATGAAATAAATAATCCCTGGTTAATGACAGAAGGTGCAACTATACATAAGCTTTCATCACCGTCAATAACAATTATGCCCTAAATGTTAGTGTTACTGTCATCAAAAGAATACTCGTGATTACAGGACATACCCGTTTTAGTGTTCATCTCATTGCGGTTTGTGATAAAAAAGTAGTCAGCATATTTCAAATCTTGTAGATAATACAGGCTCAGCTGCAGAGAGCCATCGAGCCCTTGTTAAAAAGGAACGTTAACGGTTACTGATTATCTCGCTGATTGGATTCAATAAATTTTTTTTCCTGACTCATATGTTTCTGATTTCCTTGCTTCCGCTACGCTCCTGACTCCAGTTCACTCACTTCATCCCCTGTTCGTTTCCCCTTAATCGCCGTTTCACAGTTTCATGGAGCACAAAGGGAAAACAATTGGCCATATGCATCATGGGCACATTGATCACTCAGACGGGTCCACTGTCTGGTCCATTGATTTTACAAACTGATCCAAAACTTCGTCTGAAGCGGATTGTTCAGCTGAACACAGTATTTGGCCAAATTGATGGTAAGCGGTTATTCAATATATTGTAGATTTCTTGTCACGGAATTTCCTGCTGTGCGCTCTCGGTTTATGCCATCTGTGTTTTGTGCTCTCGTTTCGAAGTCGCTTATTCACTAATACACTTATGAACGATGATGAGCCGTTCTTGGCGCTCCATCGTTCGCTGTAATGAAAGTTAAGTCCAAACAAGCTTTGTGCACCCGATAGGTGAATTTTCAGCGATTTTCACGAGAATACAATGAAAATAGGAGAAATGCAAAGGGGTGTGAAGCGGATAAAACAAAACATTACATTGGGAGCAAGAAGACAATAGTAATAGTTGTAAAAACCTAACTCATTTGATTTTTCACCAGTGATTGGTGCCCGCTTCACTAAATAACGGGTAAGAAAAGGGAGGGTGATGTTTCTGTATGTGGCGGTGCGTGCGGGGGTTTGACACAGAGTTCAGTTCGTTGTACAAGCGGTGATGTTCGTTGCTCAAGATTCTCTTATGAACAATTCCCTCAGATGCGTCTATATGCTTGCACACAATCAAATCAACCATGAAATTTCTGGCTATGCCACTACACCGGGAAAGGAGTTTTAGGGGTCTGGAACTAAATATCAAATT